CACAAAGATCGATGTTTAGCTGTTTTTTATTTACTTTTAAATTAAGAAATTAACTAATGTACAATACTAAAATTTGAATTATAATCTACAATTTGATACCAGACTTATTAAACAAATTTATAAAATAGTAGTTCAATAAAATTTTGAATGACATGGCCTTTGACATGTGACTTGTCGCAATAGGATTAATTGATTAATCATTGAACTTATTTATCAGTTAATTGAACTATTCAATTATTTTCATGACATAGTAAAAAAAACATCAACTATTCTCATATTAGTTGACTTAAAAAATAACAATTCATAATACTACAAATTAGGTTGGGTTTTGATTTCACAGAGCATGGATAACCCATTTTGTAGCTTTTTGCTTAATGAAAAACAAATATAAGTTGAATATTTCAATTACTTGTATAGTTGGGATAATCAGAAACATTAATTTTAATGAATTATTTTTGTACATTTATAGATTAATCATTGGATAGTTAGAATGATCAAAAACAGTGCAAACTGGAAACATTAATTTTGATTAGTTGATGATTTTCATGACATTAAGCAGATGGAGACCTCATAACCTATGAGTTTGAACAGATTTTATTTAAATGATTTCTACCAAAGAATTGGCCAGTTGTATTGACTTATTTGAGATAATGTGAAGAGGGCTTGGCACCTCTGCTAAGTTAATACATTTCACAGTGCTTTTGAGAAGGATGACAGTGACATACACATATGGAAAACGTATTGATAGATAGGAATTAACCAAATGAATAACATAATGTAAATTAAATTTCTCTAGGTTCAAAAGTTTGGGAGATTGAAAATCAAATGCATACTCACTTGATTTTCATTACTTTCAGTGTATTTTTTGAAATATTCATTAGTTTAGCTGTTGTAGTTAAACATAAGAAAACTGTGTAAAAACATGAGACAAATAGCAAATAACTTTTCTTGTTATATTGACAGAAATTATCTGGATTTAGAATTCCAATTTAGGGTTGTTTATTTTTGTTTTACATCAAATAAAGCTTTAAAATTACATTTTCACAATACTTTTATTTTAATTATGACTTCTGCATGAGAAAGCATATTTTGAAAGCAAAATATCAAACCCTTGCTCAAACAACTTTGAAAACTACTGGGCCTGGAAGGGTTAAATGTCAGTATTTTTTTTGTTTTTTTTTGTAGAAGGAAAGTTAATTAAGGCTATACAAAAATTAAATTGACAGTGATTTTAAAATATTTGTGTTTTTACCCAAAAATTGAAGTATTTTATGTAGCCTTTCTTAGAATTTTAAGTCAAACTGTACGATACATTTGATGTTTCACGTACAGTATATGTTTGTTATGTCTGCAGGTGAAACAGTTTGGTTGATTTTAAGTTCTCATGATATTCAGGTATCTTGTAATGGAATTGATGGATGCTAATCTGTGCCAAGTAATTCAGATGGACTTAGACCACGAACGGATGTCATATCTTCTTTACCAGATGTTATGTGGTATTAAACATCTCCATTCAGCTGGCATTATACACAGGGTATGCATTGGTGATAGTAAATAGTTTTTTGTTCAAAACATTTGAATTGCTTTAAATTTGTATAATAGGATATCATTTATGCAGGTTTATATTTTGTGCAGAAGCTAGTTAGGGTTGTATGTTGTATTTAGCTTTATTTTGAAAAATCACAAAAACAGTGAATGAAATATGAATTGGTATTATTGCTTATGACATGAAATTTTTTGTAAGGAAGCAAACCCTTTAAATTTATAAATAGAGTGGGTTCCCCGTTATACGTTGCATCACTCTGCATTCTTTCATTATTAGAGCGTTCACCAGTTACTACCCATGTCTCAAACAACATTGCCTTGTTTCATTACTAGAGCGATCCAATGTCATCAACTACTCTTCCAGGTGTATTGTTTACTAATTACTTCCAATATTTTTGAAACAATATCACTTTGTTTCATTACTAGAATGTTTATATGTCATTGGACTACTTTACCAGGTATAGTGTTCACCAGTTACTGTACAGTACTGTATTACCAATATGTGTGTGAAGCAATGTTGCCATGTTCCATTACCAGAGCATGCCAATGTCAGACTAGTTTACTGGGCAGAGTGTGATACATCTTTCACTGGCCAAGATTGTGGAGGATGTAAACACATTGTGTTCGCACACCATTGTCTAAGCATGTTTTTCTTGTTGCAGAAAAGCCTTGTTCCCACCTTTCCAACATGGCTCCAAAGTGGTCACCTAGTGATAGTAAAGTGTCCCTTGACAAGAAGCCCATGGAAACAATTACCTTTGGCACTAAACTGTATAGTCCTTTAACATTCTTAGGTGCATGTTTTGTATAGTACTCCATAGTTAAAAAAACCAGGTTACACCCTTTAAAAAAGTTATTCAAGAGTGGACAGATATGTTTCAGGAATGCATCCCCCATAATACATATAAAGATTGTGTTGCTTAATGTCGTTTCAGACGTATGTCCCACTTTCCAGGAAGCATCACGATGTGGGGGACTCCACATATTTAAGTATTTATAATTTCTCTAATGTCAGTATAATGCACCATAAAGTTGTTTCTAGGTATTGTTAGTATACAGACTGTAAAAGCTCTTCAATATTTCTGTCTTTGATGTTCTGAATTAAATGGATCTAATTTCTTGATACTTTATTTTGGTAAAAAAAAAAATTAAATTTACTATTTTTACATTTGCTAACAATGTTTTACAGGACTTAAAACCCAGCAACATAGTAGTGAAATCAGACTGTACCCTGAAGATTTTAGACTTTGGTTTAGCTAGGACAGCAGGAACTACTTTTATGATGACCCCATATGTAGTGACAAGGTATTACAGAGCTCCAGAGGTCATCCTAGGAATGGGTTATAAGGATAATGGTAAGTTTTAGTTAAAAGATAATCTAAACCTTGTATATGCAATAAATTACCCACCATCCTTTCAGTTGTGTCATTTTCCTATTCTGGATAATGCATACATACATGGAAACTACAAAAAACAATTATTGAAGGCTTCCTAATAACATAAACAAAGTATTGGTGCATCTAGACCATTAGCACTAACTAGGTGCTGTGGTTAAGATTGCCCACTTTCTGGTTGATTTGGGTCACCTTTAAATGATTTTCTAGGTGTTCTTGACTTTCTGTGAAGTTATGAGTAAGTATATGAATTATAATAGGTTATAAGTGAAAACAAAGAAGAATATGTAATATGTCAACCACAATATATCTGCTTCGTCCAATGCTGATGAGGTCTTTCGTCTAATACCAGGGCTCATCAGGCCACGTATAGTAGTGAATAAAACATATCTGTTAACATACAATTTTGGTTTTTGTTAACACTCAACCTTAAGAGAATCTTAAGAATATTTTCTCTTTTCATCTTTTTCATGGAATAGCTAGCCATGAAATGGCCCATTCAAGTTTGGATTTGTTGGATCTTTATATCAGGTTGCTCTGTTTTGCAATCTCTAAATATGAATTATATATTTTTTACAGATTCAAGTCTCTATATATATATTTGTTTTTCAGGTGGTTTAAGCTTAGTAGTTAGTGTACTGAACTGTGAATATGAAAATCCATGGTTCATATCTTATTGCTGCATAAATGTCCTTCATACTTTTGAGTTGTAGGTGCATTATAAAAGTGATGGTTAAATCTCACTCTTTGACTAGAGTAGCCCAAGAGATGACAATGAGTTCTACTGTTTACAGTTTTTAAGTTGAAAATTAGGGATGGCTAGAACAAATACTCCTTGTTTATCTTTGCAGGAATTTCCAAAACATTTGATAAAGTTGAGAAACTTTCCAGGATATTTGATCTAATATAAGATAAGCTGTGTTCATCAATGTAGCAATAACTTTGATACATTAGCTATTAGTTAACACTATATTTTATATTTGCTACATAAGAATAGTTTTTGCTATAAACATTAGGCCACCTTATAATCAATAATATGCTGACTATACCCATCCATCAGTTTTGAGAATTAAAAAAAAATATTTTATATATATGTGCTATTTTGTAAAAAAAATTATTATAAGAAAGCAATAAAAGAAAAAATGTTTAGATGAAAATTGGCTTATAAACTGAGTGGACTTGAAGCTTAGTCCAACTATATTTTGTTGAAAAATAACTAATAAATAGACATATAAGAGAAATAGTAGAAAAAATTTGCTTGCATAGGTAAGAGGAATCGGTAATGATAGACGTTGATTATTTCTCTTTTTTTTTTTTAGTTGACATCTGGTCGGTAGGTTGTATCATGGGAGAAATGATTCGTGGAAATGTGCTTTTCCCAGGAACTGACCGTATCCTTTAAATAACTTTACTAGTGTGGTAGTATTTAGTATAAATGAGAAACCAGTAACAGATACAAGCTGTAAGTCTGGTACACTAATTGACAAAATCATTCACTATTTCTCATTTTTTCCAAAAATTATAAAAATTTTACATAAAAAAATTATTATTTTAAATCTTATTGCCTAAATATAGGAACTGCCTGTATAATTAAAACAAAATAAAATCCCTTATAAGTAAATCATTACTAAATTCATTAATATGGGTAGTGTTCTGAAAGAAGTATTTTTTTTAAAGGAAATCTGTTTCAGGTTTCAGCCAACAAATCTACATTGATCGTGTAAAGGATTCTCAGCAGAGCTTCTGTAAAATATCATACACTTCTTCCATTGTTTTTTGAACTCCATGGTGCCAGTTCTGTAAAATGTAGTATGGTGTACAAATCTATTTCTGTAGAGCACTAAAGCTACTTCAGAAACATCAGTTATTTGGAAGTATTGTCTACATAGAACATCCTTGAAAAGACACAAAAATAGGAAATCGAAAGATACTAGGTCAGGATTGTATATATATATATATATATATATATATA